TAGGATAGTCTGGAACATACAATTTTCTGAAGGAAATTCTGAGAGAATTTATTGTTTATGATTCCTGTTGACCAGTTATTTCCTGAGTAAGAAGAGAGAATCAATATGTCTGGTTCGGAGGAGACTGTGGCAGATGTCCATGCTGGTCCATCTATTGAAGTGGATGAAACGTCAGAGTTGGTAGATATCAAAAACAAAAGAAAGATTCTAAAAGGTCGAATAACACGAGCTATAAACCGTGTGAGAGAATCTTTGAGAAATAATGATACCAACATTAGAAGAATCAAAAGAGAACTGAGTGAAATTAAACAGGATTGTGAGACTGTGAGAACCTTAAATAATAGTCTTTACAATTTAGTTCTTTCTTCTGAGACAATTAAACTTGATAAATGGGATGATGATTTACTTTCCACAATATTTGATGTGGAGGAAGAGATTGAAGATTGCATTACTTCACTAAATAGACACAATCAGAGCATTCGTTCCCCATCTCCTGTTGTTGTGCCAAGAAAACAAGATTTGCTAGAAGCAAATGAGAATGACAATTTGTTGAATCCTACACCATCACATGTTCCCGTTAGTCCATCTATGGATGAGAGTCCCCCTAGTAATTTGTCAACTACATCAGAGATACATGTACAACCTGAGTTAAACCCCATTACCCATTCTACAGTATCCAGAGAAACATCTAGAAATGCTACTTCATCCTCACCTTCAAATAAACCATTTGACTCATGGATCGATGAGCTGAAAGAATACACTGAAACTGATCTGGTTAGTGAAACAAGAGACCTATCTATTGCTGAGGCTTTATTAAAATTAGAAGCTAGTCGTGACATTCCTTCTATTCAAATATCGAAATTCAACGGTGATCCATCTATGTATATTGAGTTTATGGAAAAGTTCAAAATTCACATTCATAATAAACCTCATTTAAAAGATGAAATGAGAATGATTCAACTAACTATGAGTCTAGAGGGAGAAGCAAGTCGTGTTATATCAGGTATGGGAAATCAAGGCATTATGTATGCAACTGCACTT